GGAGAGGGAGAGGAGAGGGAGAGGAGAGGGAGAGGAGAGGGAGAGGAGAGGGAGAGGAGAGGGAGAGACCTTTTAGAGTTTGAAACTTAGACTTGGAATAACACCAATCACTGTAAACTCAGACCTTGAACACTTCATGGTATAGTGCACTACACTGAGATGTAATACTTAAAAATATTGACACTGCTTGTAAAATCATATTATGTGACTTGGATTTAAAGTTCTGTTATTGCGTTTCCCATCTCCTTTTTTATGCCTTTTTTTTTTTTTTCAGAGTAAAAACTTCTTACAGCCTCTGCTTCAAATACAAGAAAATCTGATCCCAGATGTCACTAATTGGGAACAGGTTAGCAAAGAGATTTACGTAGAGATGCCTGAAGTTACAAAGCATCATGTGGGATCTGACAACAGCCTGTTGTCAGATCCCTGAGCTGTTTCATTTCATTGTATGATAATACGCTTTAACTAGTACCACGCAAAGCGCAGAGGACACGTTTAAGCAGGGAAATTACATTAATGTAGGTCTTTCTAAAAGCTCTTCATGTTTGTAACATGCCAAATACCATGCAAGTATCTCACCTCTAGAGACATTCAGCATAAATACAAACTGAAAAGAGAAGTACATTAATCAGTGTCTTTTGCTTCTTAACACCTGAAATTTAAAAACTAAATTTAAGGAGTTAAATGTCTTTCAGTAGATCACTAGTTAAAGAACATTTCAAAATTAATATTCTCTAATAAACACAATATTTGGAGAGAGAAGGAGGAGTAAATGGAATTGCAGTTAGTTATGTAGATTTGCTTTTGCTGCTGGAATCAGCAGGAACGTTGCCATTAATTTCAAGGGTAGAAAGACTGAGCTAACTACATTACAGTTGCACTAAATGAATAAACAGAAATACTTCCTGCCCATGGGATTAAAACACTGCATTAAACCACAAATACTTAATTGGAAATCTAGTCTTTAAAAAATAAAATTATCAAATTACAAATAATCGAGACAGTTCTGCACATTCACATGCAAACTTAGTCCAGTCCAAGCTTTGACCACTGAAGTCAACTAACAATTCTCAACACATTTCAACTGGTTGAAACTGCCAGATAGCACTCACTATTGGCCAATTATTTAACTAAGATATTAATACTACTGTTCCATTAGAAATGTTTACTTCTTGTAACCATTGTGCAGAACAAGCAAGTAAGGACACTAAGTTTTCACCAAGCTTCTTTAGAGGATGCTTCAGTGTCTCAGAGGAAATGCCCCAAGTACCCTCTCAAGCTCAGAATGTCTCCTCTTCAATATTCAGGGAGGAGTGTTTATGTCTGGCTTTGTGGCATCCAGAGTGCCCAAAGCATTGCTAGTAATTACAATTATTTATGTGTTATACATTAAACTCATTATGGAAATTAGCACTGAGATGTTAAGTGTCAAGAATGAAAATCATCATCATCACATTCTTACTGTTCTCCCAAGCTTCTTGAGGTATAAAGCAAAGAAGAAGCAGAACAAAACATTTCAAAAGAAATGTTTTTGTCTGTACCAATTGTACCTTCTAAAAAGGCAGTTTGGCTTACCAGTGAGGAACAGGGAAAAGAAATCTGCCATGCTGATCAGAAATGTAATTCTCAGCCTACACTCAGTTCATATTAAAAGATATCCACACACGCACAGGTCTCCAGTCTCTCCTGTGGGGAAAAGAAAACAAAGGAATGAAATGTCTTCTCTAGACTAAAATTTTCATTGCTCCTAACCTAGCCCTTTACAGCCCCTTTAGAATCTAAATTTCAAACAGATTTGCCTAGCCCCTCTGATGTATTCAGGGCAACTTTTAAACAGTAAAAGAAAGGTAATATAGTGGAACCTCTTTGGCAATTTGCCTGAATCTAAACACATATCATCTGCTGGCAAGACAGAAATGGTTTGGTTATGTCAAAAGTGGAATATGTTACTTTAGGAAGCAAATTTCCTCTGCAGCAGGAATTTAAGCACAAGTAAAGCTCCAAAGTACCTGAACAGTGCTCTTAACTGAACAAGACAACTTATCTGAATGAATGAATGAATGACTGCTCAAGATACAGGAAGGGACGCAGTCTGTCTGAGGATTCAACGAATACTCTAGAATACAAAAAAAATCTAAATGCCATCTGGCAAAACAGTTACAACCGTTGTTTATTATAGCTGAAAGATGAGAAAAAATTAAAATTACAAATTATCTATGCTGCTTGGAATTTAGACTTAAGTCTTAGATGCACTGATGTTGGGAGAAAAATTCTTAGTGAATGTTCCCTCCTTCAATCCAAGCTTCAATAATACTCTTATTCCAACTTAAAAATTTTGAATTCTTGCACTTTATTATTTACTAGATAGGTAGGCCAAGAAATCAGCTGTCATATACAATGTGATATTATTTCATTACACATAAGTCTGACATTAAGAACTAATGTGCTTTGCTAACTTTACAGAACATTATTATTAGGGGTCAATATATACGTCAGACAAAAATAACATCAGCAAAAGACTTAGTGTACTAAGAAAATTCCTAATTTTGTCAGAAATGCTGTAACATATTGCTAGATATAGCATATACTTGTACATATATAAAAATACATTAATTTCATAATCAGTCAGCAGGAGTTTTTAGGTGAACTCAGCATCCTAGGGTGCCAACTATAAGCCTCATTTAATTGTGAATCAAGCAGGTATGGTAATGATGGACAGCATGATAGCATCTGGACAAACAGGGAATTTTCATTGAATAGATAGTGAAGAGTGATTTCCCTATTTATCCCTTCATTAATAGCTTTATGCTAATATAACAATATTCTTTTCAAAATCCTAAACTTGCATAAATCTCATGAAGTAGAAAAAAAAGAGCATTAATTTCCATTAATAGAACTAAGCTGAAGTTAATAATTCCAGATCCCTGGAATCCATTAAAGGAAACTGCATTGTGGCTGTGGTGGACTGAATGTTAATCTAACACATATGCTTTGGAAATGCCCATTCATACTTAAATTCTCAGATGAAATATTTGAAAGCATCATTATAATCTTGTACTGGAGTATTCTTCTAGATCTTAAACTGGGTAGTTTTAAGAAATCTATGCCTTAAGGAGCCACATAATTTTTTGTGGAGTTTTAGCTGAAACAAAAAAACTCCAAGCCCAGTTGGTTCTTTAGAAATAACCCTCCTAAAGGGTTTTGCATTTCTAGAGTGCTATAGCAGCCTCAATGAGTCAGCAAATGAAGAAAGCACTATTCTGCTTGAATGAACATCATCTGGTTTTGAGCTTTTTCTCATACCAGGCTTTTAAAACAGAAACATGAGTTTCTACTCACGCTATATTGAAAATATGTATGGCAGATAAATAACCTTAAAAAATATCAGAAAACATAAATCCCTAATTGAAGTGCCAAAGTAAATGTAATTTCTACTGTAATCAATACTCTCTGATATTGCCTGTGTACTTTTTTATGCCTTAGTTTTCAGTGACAACAAATACAACTAAATGTCTAAACCAGACTACAATTTGGTCAGATTTGGAAGCCATTAAGTCCATTTAACTAATTAAGGCACTAATTAAGTGCTCTAGTACTTTACAAAAATATCAGCTCAAAATTCTTGCTTGCATATCTAAATAGTTTAATAATACAGTGCACCACATGCCCCAAACAGGCGATTTTGGTCTTAAATGGTATGATTTTGGTCTTCATTGTTTTTAAAAAAGGAACACTTTATTTGCACATCTTAGGAACAGGAATTCAAGCCAGAGGGTCATTTAGACTGGTATTTTTTTTCTAGCATTAGCTGCAAGTGGATGCTCAGTGAAGAGCAACAGAGAAAAAATAGACATTTCCTTCAGAAGTCCCTCAGTCTCCAATTATATGCAGGTCACACGATTTCCTAAGCTTACTGGATTTTTTTTTCTGTTTAGTAATCTTAAGTGGATTTCTCTTCAAAGTGTTTGTCCACTTCCCCCTAAAATCCACATAAATATGAGCATCTGCAATGCCTCCTGGTGAGCAGCTCCATGGGGCTAGCACTCTTTGCACAAAGAACTGCCAGATTTTACTTGTTCTGAAACCAGCTTCATTTGATGGTCCTTTTTTCTACAAAAAGAGATAGTAAACAGCTGACCTGCATCAACTGTCCCTGTGATAGCCAGGATCCTGTGGATTTCTTACTAGCCCTCTAAATCTCCCTTTTCTGAGTTAGAAATGGCTAGCCTAGTAATCCACCCCTTCTAGACAAACTCTATACTTTTGTTGCCTTTTTTACTTTCGCTAAATATTGTCAAGTTTTAATACATTCCTTTTTGAGATCAAGAGATCAGAACTTGCACAATACCCAAAAGCCATAACTGAACTATAAAGGTACATGGTGGCATAATGGTTTTCTCTCTTTTGTTTTCAGTCCTGAAAATGCCTAACAGTTGATTTGGTTTTATGACTGTCACTGAGCAATGAATCGATGTTTTATGAAACTAAAGATCATAACCTCAGAATCTTGCTCTTGAGTGGGAACAGCTGGCTCATTTTTATGTGACTCCTGAGTTGTTTTTGCCATGTGTTTGATTTCACATTTATTTACTCTGAATTTCAGCTGCCATTTTATTGCCTGCTCTTCTTTACCATCTTGTCTTCTTCCCTTTATCCTGAATAACTTAGTATCTTCCAAACTTTTAATCTGAATGTTCACATCTGCTTCTAGGTTATTTATGAGTACATTGAAGAGTAGATCTTAGCACAGACCACTCCTGAAATTTGCAAATGACTGTTCATTGTAAAAACTACATTTTAGATATAGTCAATATTTTAGGTGACTTTTTAGCTAAGCAAGGACCTTCCTTTTTGGTCTGTGCTGATTAATTTCTTAAAAGCTCTCAATGACAGACCTCTTTAAATGCACTGCATATCCACGGGAACTATGGTATGAAATAACAACTGCACTGATCCTCTGAAAGATCACCCAGAGGTCTATAAGCAGAAGTCTCTTGATTCTCTTATATAAATCACATTGAGTTAGGTTTACCCATTTTAATTTTTATTATGAATTTATAACTAAATTCTGCATGGAACAGATTGCTGCATATTATAAACAGGAACAAATTAGTATTTCCAAAGCCAAAAAGGTATTGTTTCACAAATGTGGGGCAATACAGCAATGAAAGAAAGGCACTCAGGGGACGTTGGGACTATATGATCTTTAAGGATTATTCCAGCCCCTTAACATTCTACAATTCCATGATTCTATGAAGCTGCCTTGATTAGGACTTGATGATCTTGGTGACCTTTTCCAACCTTAATGATTCTATTTACATGGGTGGTAAACTGGATTGCTTGGCTTTTAATTTCACTGAAATGTACCATTCTGTAAGCCAAAATCATGTTTTACCAAAAATGTCAAGTCAAATGATTCATTCTTTTCCTTTAATTCATAGAAGAAAAAGGGCTAATTAATTCATTAGGAAAACCTAGAAACCTGGAAAACTAAAGCTGTCTAGAAAGAAAACTCATATCATTATTTGAACCCTTTTCTACCCAGATAAAAAAGTACTTGCAAAAACCTTCAAGGAAAAACACAGAATTTAACTGTGAGTATTTTCCTTTCCTATGAAAGAATTTGATTTTTAAATAACTGCATTCATTACAGTTACCTTTTTAAAGTGATACTCACAGCCAGTGGTCCATAGCCAGCTACACTACCCTGTATCCTCTTCATACAACACTGGCTCACAGTCCCCTGAAAGCATGACCCAAACAGATACTCTTTTTCTACTATCTTAAAGACATCAAGTCTCCTAGGCCCATCCATAAAAGCTCCCTATGATCCAAAATCAATCAGTAAAAAAATACTATCTGGATCATGATATTTCAAAAGTATTGGATAAATTTCTAATTTTTATTTATGTTGTGTTGAGTCGCTATAAAGGCATTTAATTCTTTCTGCATTTGAAATTAATTAGCACCTAAATATATTTAAACCTCCACCATGTAGGACAAAATGGGAAGCATCTTTTTGGCAGTCCTTTTAGAGGCCAAAAGTATACATGGGGCCAAAATACTCCTGATTAAAATTTAGGACAGAGAACTACAGAGAGAGGTAAACACATAAATGGAGCACAGGCTAACAGAAATATGGCAGTAGTCACAAAATTAAGTTGTCTTGCTTGTAATAATGGATGAGCTGCTTAGCACCCCCAGTACATTCAGTTTTTCATATATTTATCAATCAACCCTAAGTCATTCATCAAAGGAACTGTAAAGCAAATTAAAGGGGTGTAAAAGGACAAACAGTGCTAGTAGAGAAGATGCAGGTCATTGTCCTGTGTGTGGGCAGCAGTTTTACATGCATAGAACACTTGATTTCAATTTCTCCTCTTTTAATGAAGAGCAGTTCAGAGCAGATATTTTGCAAAAGGGAACTGATGCAAGACACAAGGAATAAAGAACGTGAGTTTCTGAAGCTGTGCTGTTCATGTCTGCTCGGTGACAGCCAGGCTCTGGCCAGCACTGAAGTTGGAAACCATATGGTAAGTGTCACAAACACTTGGAAAATACTGCTCTGAAAACCACTCAGGACAGCAAGGAGCATGTTCCAATTACAGCATCGTACTGTAAGTCCAGTTGGCACAGATGCAAGGCAGGATGAAAAGCAACAGGCTGAAAATCAGAATATTTTAGGG